GCCTCGAACTTGTGACAATCCTGCCTCAGCCTCTCGAGTGCTGGGATTACAGGTGTGCACCACCACACACTTTTTGGAAAATTTATAAACTGAGGCAGTTACATTTTTTTTTTAAGGTAGCAAGGATTCACATTTATTAAAGATGGAAAAGAAATATGCTCTGCAGAGTGACAGTGGGCTGTTAAGAAGGTTCACAGTGGCTGGGAGGATAATGGCAGAGGTTGAGGCAGTAATATTTTAAACAATAAAGCTTCAACTATTTCACTTACCAGGTTTTCATAATTTACATAAAATGCAACATTCATGGGTTTTAGTGATCTAATGGAACTAGAATACTTTTCATTAATACAAAATAAGGCAAAGAATTCTGTTTATTTAATACTGTGTTGGAAGTCTACGCCAGAGCAATAAGGTAAGAAAAAGACAAAATAGGCATACAGGTAGTGGGGTAGGATAGAAGAAATAATGATAGAAAGAAGACAAAAACGTCATCAATTTAAAATTGTACTTTTAAAAAAACTGCAACTTTAGGATACAGTCAAAATTACCCAGATTGTCCATATCTGTGCTCCAGATCTTTACTCCCCAGGCTCATTTATGCTCCCTAGGCTGTCTTGTTTTTTCCTTCCAGACCCGTAACTCCCAAATCTCTTAAAGATATAAAGTCCATAAATTAACCTCGTTGATTAGATAAAAAGCAGTAACCTGACCTTAGAAGAAACAAGCTCAAACAGTTCAAAGAATGTTTTAAGGCAAAACATTTTAGATCACCCATCTTTCTCTTTAGAGGCTATCTCCAAAACCCCTGACCACAGTGCACTCTCCTCAATGCTGTGTACTCCTTTAACTGTGCCTAATGAATCTACCTATGCCTCTCTCTAACATGTCCTGAAATTCTTTTTCTGTGGAGATGTTTACAAACCTACTACCTTTTGGGGACGGGGGAGATTGAGGTCCCTGTCTCTTTTTGGGGGGACCACCTCAGATCCCAATGTGGTGGTAGTAGGAATAGAAAAAAATTGTCTCTGTTCACAGACAACAGAATTGTTCATGTGGGAAATTCCAAAGAATCTACGAAAAAGTGGGGTTAGGGACTGGGGTGGTGGCTACTGCCCAAAAAGGCAAGGGAAGGGGGCGGGTCGGCAAGGTTTTAAGATACAGAGTAAATGTACAAAATTAGTGTGTTTCATTGTAGTGCTAGCAATGAACAACTGTAAACCAAAAGTTTGAAAAATCGAGACGGAACTTTGAAGACAAGCTATCTAAAATGGTATTGTTTCATAGAAACTAAGAGCAGATCTAATGGCAAGCATATCTTTTGTGGTTAAAAAAAAACAACAAAAAAACAATGTTTTTGCCTTGTGCCTTTTAGGCATCCCAAGTTCCAAGAGAAATTATTTTCTTACTCAAACAAGAGCAATTATTTTCTTAACAAAAACAAGTTCCCTAGTAAGTACTGCTTTAATGAGGAAATTGTGTTGCAGGTCCTCACATCAGCTCAGAATTCAACCAGGGACAGCATTTAGCTAGATACAGATGTCAGCAGAAGAGCACAGCAGAATATAAAAAGGAATCAAGTTAAATGGAAACTATTAGAGTCTTTTAAACAGTGTGTACTACCATTTATATATGTATATATATATATAACTTGGTAGATAGCATTCTAATATATATTGTTATAGAAGAAATAGAAATCTTTGCAAATTCTATGTCTTTACACTAATATTACCTTGCTGATTGTTGACTACTTTGAATGTACATTCCTTTTCTTCAATTTACAAAAATAGTGGCTTGTTGCATAGTGCCTATTTTTTGACTTTGCTATTTTTGCTTCTCAGAGTAGCTTGGAGACATCTTCTAGGTTGGGCTTTGAGGAGTGACTGGACCGTGAGTGTGATACTGACTTAATCTACCATTGGTTTAGCATAGTTCTGGTTGTGGATAATGTATTTATTGAAAAAGGAAGACCTACCCTGGGTATGGGTGGCACCAGCCAGTAGGCTTAGAATGTGGATGGAATTAAAAGGGAAAGAAGAAAGGCTCCCTGCTTCCTGCCTGCCTTGCCATGAGCTCTTTCTCCTCTGCCATGCCCCTGTGTCATGCCCTGCATTGGAGCCAACCGACTATAGACTTAAACCTTTACAAACTATGAGCTACAATAAGCCTTTCCTTTTTAAATTTGTGAGTGTCAGGTATTGTGTCCCAGCAATGAGAAAGTAACTAAGACAAAACCTTATCCTTTTACAACTGACTACATTTTTCTATCAATGTTTAAATCTTTTTCTCACTATTGCATCAGCAGAGCTCCAATATTAGCATTACTAATCTTACCGGTGATGAACATTACCTTTTTATTCTTATAGTGTGAAGATTGCTCCTGGAGCAGTTGTATGTGTAGAAAGTGAAATCAGAGGAGATGTAACTATAGGTAAGAAAATAATTTATTAATATTTCTTAATAATTGATGTCATATAATCTAGTGCTTTACCTTGTAATTTAGTGCTTAACTATTGTCTTCATGTCTGTTTCACTGATGCCCCGATTTTATTGACAAAACAATGTCTTTTCTCCTGAAGGTGTGCAATCTTTCTAAAAGAAAGCCTAAGTTTAAACTTTTGTCTGAAATACTAATGAGATCATTCATGTATTTGAGAGAGAGCTGTTATGTATATACAAGTACCTATGATGGGCCAAGCACTGTTGGCACTAGAGACACAACAGTGAGCATAACAGACAAAGAACCAGGCTTTGTGGGACTTGCATTCCACTGAGTGTTCATTAAGAGTGTGGATTATGGAGTCCACAGCCCTGGGTTAGCTTGCTCCTTATTCCTTATCTCCTGGGTTACCTTGGACATGTTACTCGACCTCTGTGACCTTCATTTTCTCCAACTGTGTGATTGTGTGTATCAGGATTGGTTTCAGCTGCATGTGGTGGTCACTTAAATGCAAAGGTTTATTCTTGCATATAAAAAATGTAGAAGTAAGGATTTCAGGGATGATCTATTGATTGTCCAGCAGGAAGCTCTGGCCTTGTAGGCCAGGAAGTGATGTTAGAGTACCAAGAGTCAGCCTGGGTGAGAAAAGGGGGGAATGTGAACAAAAGGGCAAGCTGAGTCAGGTCCTTCTAAATACCCTTCCTGAAAGTTCACACAACCCTTCTCTGTGTCTCATGATGAGAACTTGGTCTTATGACACGGAGCTGCTAAGGAAGATGTAGTTGTCCACATAGTTATCCCTAATAAATTCAGGGAGGGTTCTATTACAAGGAAAAAGAAAAGAGATATTGGATGGTACCTGTCACATGCAAGATAGTCTATTGCAAGAGAATGTGAAAATTGTGAGTAATAAACTTTCTTGAAGTGTTAGCTGTTAACACTGTAAATATTACAGCCTAGCCTTGCTAGAGGTCAGATCCAACATTTAGATCAAATGAATAGTTTTGCCCGTGACAACTTACATTAATGACTAAGTTCTCCAAACTCACATTTCTCTACCCACTTCTATTATTATTATTATTATTATTATTATTATTATTATTATTACTATTATTTTGGTACCGGGGATCAAATTCAGGACCTTGCACTTGTGAGGCAGGCAGCAGAACCACTGAGCTAAATCCCCAGCCCTCTACTCACTTCTTTCACCTGTGCTTTCACTGGATGTGATACCCTTAAGCTTTATTGGTGTGAACTCATCCTTCTCAACAGCTGCATGTCACCCCCATGCTACCAGAGTAGAGCTTTCAGTGAATCATTATACTTTTAGAGAGAAAATTTCTTTGTATTGTTTGTTTAGTAGAAAAATATGATATCTTATAAATGATACTATCTCTTTTCTTTCTACTAAACCTAAGCCTCCAGCCAACTTAGGCATTATATCTTATAAAGCCAGTGAAGATTGTGACATTATATGGAACTTTGTTAAGAATTTGCAAGGTTGCCCAAGCAAGGTGGCATGCACCTGTAGTTCCAGCTACTCGGGAGACTGAGGCAAGAGAATCACAATTTTGAGGCCAGCCTGGATGACTTAGCGAGACCCTTTCTCAAAATAAAAAAATTTAAAAATGGCTAGGGATGCAGTTTGGTGTTGATGCCCTGTGTTCAATGCCCAGTAATCTGAAGGGAAAAAAAAGGATTTGCCAATTTGATTGATTGATTTTATTTTGTTTTTTCCCCCATTAAGTTTATTGATACATTTTAGGTGTAAAATACATTTACATACATCATTGGGATCTTGTACCATTACATGAGTATCTTGATTCTTATTTTTTTTTCCCCTTTCCTTGCCCTCCCTTCACCCCCTCCACCCTTCCCTATTTGCAAAGACTTTGTTTCCATTTTTT